CACCAATTTCCTGGCATATCCAAACAAATCCAAAACCAAATTGAAAAAATTATTTTAGTTGCCCATGAATTTCGTCCTACCCTGTCTAGAGATAATAGCATAAAATAACATTGTTTTGGTATTCTATTGTCAGTCTTGTTTAGAAGTCTACACCAGTATTTCACTGCACTGGTTGTATAAATAAACCGTAAAGGCACTCTTCCACATTCACCCAAGGCCATATTGCTACAGGTGGATTTTCCAAGTTTCAAAACATATATACTGTATATTTACAAAATTTAATATGGACAGATTCAATAGTATTACAGTAGGATGTGCCCCAGATTTCAGACCCATAACATAAAATGGGTGATATCATACAATCAAAAATCTTAAATAAATCTGTGCAATTAATGCTGCCATTTTAACAGAGAATATTGCCTTATTAGCTTGTGATGCAAGACAAGATGTAGCTTTACTCCAGGATAATTTAGGAGTGAACATAATTCCAAGATTCTTGTAAAATGATACAGTGTCAATAACATTACCATTATAAAACCAATTTTCATATGAGCGCAAGAGACCACCATTTCGAAACACACTAATTTTGGTTGCATAACTTATTTATGAAAATAATAAAACTCTGAGGGCTCAAAGCACAACCTTGATGAGTGCCGATTTTACAGGAAAAACTATTTGATATACCCTTAGATGTCCTGACTGAAGCTGATAAAAGAACTATACATAGAAGTTAACAGCATAAGAAATTTACCTCGCATACCAGCTTCCTAGAGTGACTTTAGAAGAACATCATGCATTACAGTATCAAAAACCTTGGCAAAGTCTACATAAAGACAATAAAATCTACCCCTTTTTTTTGCTAATATATTTTTGAATTAAGATTTGCAATTAAAAAAATTGGTTAATTGTTGAATAATCAGCCCTGCAACCAGTCTGTGATTCACTGATAATATTTTGAACCTCGCACCATCGTTGAAGGCGACCATTAAGAATAGACATAAACACTTTACAAGTAGAATCTTTGAGAGAAATTCCTCTGTAATTATCAGTATCATCTCTGCAACCAGACACATGGACAGGACAAATAATGCTTTTACTCCAACAAGATGGAAACATACCACTATCAAGAATATGATTAAAAAGCTGAGTAAGATATGGTACAATGAGATTACTCGAAGCCTTTAAGAATTCAGCAGCAACACCATCTGGCCCAGGAGATTTATTATTAGCAGAATTAATTATCTGACGTGAAACTTCCTGTTGGGTAATAGGATCATCAAGCCCTTCTGATCTCTGAGTAGACAAATAAACATCACTATCCTCATCTGAAAGACAAGACCCATCTTGATCTGCACCAAGTAAAGACATAAAGTGACTAACCCACTGCTGATTAGTTATAGACTGAGAAATACCCCTGGAAGAATGACTGTTTTGTAAATTAAATGGTATCTTCGTTGTTGAAGATGAATGACATGTGTTTTGTGTTTGTGATGATATTCTCACATCAGAAATAAGTACATATAAAAATATTTTAGTAAATTTCCATCAATTATTAATTTTATATCTATATTACAGAGTACAAATGTTAACATCATCAAGGATGTATGTTATTTTTATACTTTGTTGACAAGAAACACAAATCTAAATGGAATACATATGTGCTCTAATTAGCCATCAATGTATGTAGATGTAGTTTGGGCCGGAGGCCTGTTACTGAAATATAATTCTGTTCTGTTCTGTTAGAATGTTGGATTTCTTAAAAATTGGAATGACGGGATAAAGAATAGTCATAGTCTGTGTGAATGCATTTCACTCAAGATCGGTACTTATTTTAGACATTAAAACAGCTAATCTTTGGTTCTCCAAGTAGGAGCAAAATTGAAATAATTCTGTTGCCTCAAAAAGCAGTTTTCAAAGTTGTAATTCTACTACCAGTTTTTCACTTTGTATGACGTGCGTTCATTTAAAAAAAAATACTGGTCAAGTGACGCAATGCATGGCTCGATGTAGAATGTGCACTGGTGCAACCTAAAACTGCAAATGTAACCTCATATTTATACCTACTTTCACACTGTGTATGTTCATAATTTCCTGTTCAAATATCAAAAACACATGATATCAGCAATATCAAAACCACAAGTAGTAGATAATGAGTAGAGCATGAGGTGCAACCTGTTTCTGTCTGAGGATTCAAGGTAATCATGTAAGGTGGCACCAGGGGCAAAAAGGTTTCCTTTATTCTAATCAAAATAGCAATATTTTATGTAGGGGTTGTTTTTCGTACGTCTAACACGGTGCAACACCGGTTTTCTGTCGGCTTGTGTCGAAAATAATGAACCATAACACTTGAAAATAGGACTCGTCAATATTCATAAATCATGTATTTTCTTCTGCAATTTTCATGACATGACACGTTGGAATAAGCGTAACAGTGTCGTTTGAATAGCATATGTGATGAAATCGAAAATTTGTTTACGACGAAAGTTTTCGATTATTTATTTTATTCAGAAATGTTTTGAATTTGACGTCGCGCTGATATTTGCCGATACAAATATACGAATTTAAAGTCAGATAATTATGAGATATCGGAAATAGGAATATTGAAATCGATTTGTGCTAATTAAACGATTTATTCAGGTTCCTTATATGAAACACATTCGACTGTATTCAGGTAAATTCACGCAAATTTACATTTATTTATGTTTGCTTGGTCATTTACCTCTGTATGTTTGAAACCATCAGGATATTTTAGGATAATAATGTATATTTTTCTATCTGGTAGTAATGTGCCAAATATGTTTTCAGTTGCCCCTTATTTAATGATATTTAATTATTTGAAATCACCCATCATCTTAACAACGCCCTGTGCTGAAATCAATTCAGCAGGCTAAAGGTTAAACAGTCATTCTAATTCATAATGCAACTGGAACGTTGATCATTTTTATACAAATTAGACTCTTATATCACTATGTCCTCCGAGAGCCTTTGAACAGTGTCAACCTGTTATCAATTCAATGCAGTGCGGGAATATGGGAAACAAATGCCCAGCCAACACAGGAAATTTGAAATGTCTTCCTACGAACCTCTGTTCTAATACGGCCCTTTCGTGGTGCGAGTGTTCAGGATTCGTGATTGGTTGCAATCAGATTTAGTTGTGCAATCAGCGACGTTGTTTCAAAAGTGATCATTCGCAAGGTCTCGGTAATTTCCGTATGCTTCGGGAAAACTAGAACCTCTTCCCCTGCGCGATGCGCAAACGTTTCTTCTAGACAGAACTCAGTCATGTAATAGCGCTTCAATGGCGTCTCCCTCGCCCTCGTTGACAACGGATAAGCTTGCCATTAAATGCTTTGTGTGTCACATCAACACAAGTCCCCGGCAGAGGAGGGATATTTGTGGCCCCATATTTGCTTGTATTAGTCAGGTTGGATCTAAGTCGATGTTACACGTGTTCTGATTGGATAGACAGAAGGGAGATAATTCGTGTTGCGATTTTTTGCCGCTAGGGGATTTACGAGAACTGGGAAATATGGCCGTATTAGAACAGAGGTTCGTAGGAAGATATGACAAGTAACCTCTGCGGGAAGAGAATGTAATAGGGCAGGAAGATGGCAGAACGATTGAATCACAAGAGGATATACTAAAATAAGTAAAATCGTATTTCTCGAAACTATGCTCAAAATATGACATATTTAGATATGCCTTAGCTCGCTACTAAAGGAATACGATACTCCTAAACCATATGTCCGTGCCATTAAACCTTTTGTTCTGTGTTTTATGATGCATTCTAAGTCTGTATTAACTATCTGCTACAACTTCCTCATTCGCTGATTGCATCTAATAGTTTGGTCAGAAGGGTTAGTGTTTCTTCAACTTCCCTTTCCCGTATACGTTCTTGTTACTTTTTGTAGGGTGAGTCCTGTATAGCCTTACTTCTTATCGCAAGAAGCAATGTTTCCAAGAAAAAAAGATTGTCTATATTAAATCAAGTTTCTGTGTTATTTACATTTTGATACTGCTGTTTTGTTTCTTCAATGGTAGTTTTAACGAGACGTTTCGTCTTTTTAGTAGAACATTATTGAACTCCCAGAAGCCCTTTTCTCTTTTATGATCTGTAAGCTTAAACGTCATGATCAGTGATATTGGTGAGTGGTCCGATCTGAAGCTAGGTCCAATTTCCATTTTCATAATGGAAGGTAGTATATTATGGGAAATTAGAAAGTAGTCCACGCGTCCTTGTCGCCAAGTATATCTTTTACTAAAAGGAGTATGTTCGCGCCATGCATCTTTAAATCTGTGATTACACAATGCCATTTAGAAAGTGGTCAAATGTAACATATGTTATATTTGGGATTACGCTTTCTTAGTAAAGTACAAATTCTAGTACTTTTTGAGTTGAGCCCCATCCGGGATTCGAACTCACACCCTCAGAGTCAGGCACCTAATCGCCAGGAAGTCGCGGTAGCTGAGTGGGTTAGGCGGCTGACTTTGTGTGCTGGCGATTAGGTGCCTGACTCTGAGGGTGTGAGTTCGAATCCCGGATGGGGCTCAACTAATAAATGACTAGAATTTGTACTTTACTAAGAAAGTGTAATCCCAAATATAACATATGTTACATCTTTAAATCTAATTCGTTCTTAATTTGTAGAATTCTGTCTCTAGCTTTTGGGTTATTTACATGTTTGTACTTGAACGCATCACTTGAATAATCTTGAATAAGATTTCAATTTCCACACAGAAAGATATGATCACTATCGAGAGTTCTGATTCTCGTGGGCAGGTTATCATAGAATTTCATGTAATCTATATTTGGCCCTTAAATAGTCACAATAGCTAGCTTATAATCCACATTGTCATTACACAGGCATATTTCGTTTCCTTGATGACAGGACTATCTTATCACTGGCGCCCGGACGGTGCTGAAAACAGTTTTAGTAACCAGGACAGGGATTGGTTGATCTTAGACCATGCTGTGACTCACGTGATCCACGTTTGTTATTGTAGGATCTCTCTGCAGAACACTCGGATATGAAGCGCAGAAGGTACTTTCTTCCGATGCTGATCTGGGCGGCCTTGCTGCTAATTATTCTGTGGATTAATACCAAGTACCCGGCTTTACGCTTGCAAGGTAAAATGAAGTCTGTTTCCTGCTAGAGTGGGATGTGCATATGTCATGTGACCTGGGGTATGAGTGTTTATTGTTTATAAAGGAATTCTGCCTTGTAACAACCTGGATCAGCCTAGACGTACATGTGTCATGAGACCTGAGATATGAGTGTTTATTGTGTATAAAGGAGTTCTGCCTTGTAACAACCTGCAACAGCCTGGACGTTGCATGTGTCATGAGACCTGAGATATGAGTGTTTATTGTGTATAAAGGAGTTCTGCCTTGTAACAACCTGCAACAGCCTGGACGTTGCATGTGTCATGAGACCTGAGATATGAGTGTTTATTGTTTATAAAGGAGTTCTGCCTTGTAACAACCTGCAACAGCCTGGACGTTGCATGTGTCATGAGACCTGAGATATGAGTGTTTATTGTTTATAAAGGAGTTCTGCCTTGTAACAACCTGCAACAGCCTGGATGTTGCATGTGTCATGAGACCTGAGATATGAGTGTTTATTGTTTATAAAGGAGTTCTGCCTTGTAACAACCTGCAACAGCCTGGACGTTGCATGTGTCATGAGACCTGAGATATGAGTGTTTATTGTTTATAAAGGAGTTCTGCCTTGTAACAACCTGCAACAGCCTGGACGTTGCATGTGTCATGAGACCTGGGGTATGAGTGTTTATTGTTTATAAAGGAGTTCTGCCTTGTAATAACCTGCATCAACCTAGACGTACATGTGTCATGAGACCTGGGGTATGAGTGTTTATTGTTTATAAAGGAGTTCTGCCTTCTAACAACCTGCATCAACCTAGACGTACATGTGTCATGAGACCTGGGGTATGAGTGTTTATTGTTTATAAAGGAGTTCTGCCTTCTAACAACCTGCATCAACCTAGACGTACATTTGTCATGAGACCTGGGGTATGAGTGTTTATTGTTTATATAGGAGTTCTGCCTTCTAACAACTTTCACAGACGCATATTCCGGAAAGATGTCTTGAAATACATGAAGCTGCGACTAATTTATAGATGAACATAATTTCCTCGATACTCATTAATCAGATGAACCTCCATTTAGTTCAATTCACAAGTGACTGCAGAAAGTGCATAATTCTTTTTAATGACTTCAAGGTCGGAAAACATGTATCATATTTCATAAGTGTTTTATGGAACGCTGTAGTAGATGAACATAATTTGCTCGATACTCATTGATCAGATGAACCTCCCTTTAGTTCAATTCACAAGTGACTATAGAAAATGCATAGATAGTTCTTTTCAATGTATTCAAGGACGGAAAACATGTATTATATGTCATAAGTGTATTATAGAACGCTGCAACGATTCGGCAGAGAAATACTATTGTACCATTGTATTCCTCATATGAACCTATCAGTGTATAACATTAGCATTCAGATATTGTTATAAAATAAGTTAAAAATTCCAAACATTATCGTGTAATATGACAAGAGATAGTATTGTGTTCGCTGTGACAAAGAGGTATCGATATTCAAATATAACATTTAATCAAAGTGACTACGAAGTAGGCCTGCATATCACTCACAACAGAAATAGATACATAATAATGCTTTGTTTATTTTCCTACACATCAGTTGCGAGAGCAATGTTTATGCTAATAAACTTTTCGTCAATTTATATAGCTTTTCTAAAAGATGATTTGCTTCAATTAAAAAATTCGAAGAATGATAAAGAAATTAGGCCTATTGCTGAAATGATTAGTAAAGATATAATTACTTTATTTATTTCAGTTGATATTCAGGCCAACGGCCCATTACAACATAGAATGCATATACAATATAATAGCCTAATGCGCATGCGTAAAATATGCATATTCATATGTGTAGTAACATATTGGTACAATGATTCATATCTGTGGGGATAATATAGAAGTTCTCAAATTCATTCTGTGATGTAAATACATTGATACATTTCTAATAATGCTTTCATTTTTATTTGACATTAGGTAAGTAAACTGATCTATAGAAATCGTCCCGACATCGATATATTGTTTTCTAATGTGTGAAAGTGATCGGCAACCCAAAAGAAAATGGTATTCATCCTCTATATCTCCCGATTTACATAATTTACACAGTCTGTTTTTTTGCTCGATATCGTTCACCCTACCAATTTCTATTTCTAGTGGGAGTGTACCGCAACGAAAGTTTGCCAAAATACTCCTGAATTTATTTATTTGTATTGAATTGATATACTCTTCAGTTTCAAATTTATACTTAAACAATGTAGTTTAGATGTACTATTTATTGATTTAAAACCACTCTGATATGAATACATCTTTCATTCTTTGTTTGAATTCCCTGAGAAATAAGTTTATGTTTTGCACCCCTTGATTTACCCATACATACATAAATCCATTAGAGCATAAAATGTTTCTTACCTTGGGTTTACTTTTCCGTTAGTATCATAAAGAAGTGACATTCTGTAACATTTTTGGGCATATCTATGGTCAGGCATCTTGTTTATTTTAAGCCAGTATTTAATGACTCTTACTAAAGTGTTAACAAATAGAGGGAAGCGGCCACATTCACCAAGGACAGCATAATTTGGTGTCTTAACTGCCAGTTGTAAATATCTCTTACAAGCTGTTAACTGAATTCTTTCTAGTTCATCGTATTGCTTATATCCCCAAATTTCACATCCGTATGTTAGGATTGGTAATATTTTGGTATAAAAAATATGGAAGAATATCTTGCTATTTATATTGCAGTTCATATTCAATGTCTGTAGAACACTATTTAAACCTCGCTTCCCTTCCTGGGAATATAATTAAAATCCATCTATGGGAAGGGATGCCAGACGGACATATCAAACCAAAATCGGATAATTACTCGGAGTACTGACTTTCAAAAATAGCATATTAATTATCAATGATATCAGTTTTCCATAAAATCACTACTAATTCTGAAACGTTGCCGATAAACCTGGAATCGTGTTCAGATGTTTTCAGAAATACACTCACACGAACGCCCAAGTGCACTTTGCGCCCTATTGGATAGTGTTTACAAAATCACGTTTCGCGAAGGCCTGTATTGAGACGCCAATTACATCACTTATATTTCATATTCAGCGGCGACAAATGCATCACTGAATTCTAAGGCTGGGACGGGTACTCGGGTACCCGAATCCGGGTCGGGTACAGCTGGAATCGAGTCCTATTTCTAGGAATCGAGTACCCGGAAAGGGAGAGAGCTCTGTAATGACAAGGGCAGACAATAGCTTGTCTTTTTCATTTTTGACGTAACACACATTTACATAATTGAGTGAGTGAGTGAGTTTAGTTTTACGCCGCACTCAGCAATATTCCAGCTATATGGCGGCGGTCTGTATTAAACGAGTCTGGACCAGACAATCCAGTGATCAACAACATGAACATCGATCTGCGCAATTGGGAACCGATGACATGTGTCAACCAAGTCAGCGAGTCTGACCACCCGATCCCGTTAGTCGCTTCTTACGACAAGAAAGTTGACCCGAATGTATTTCTTACATTTCCGGGTACTCGATCGTTTCCGATTCCGATTTTTTCCTACTCGTCCCAGCCCTACTGAATTCCTCATACATTTTAGAACCTAATTACAACTGGTCTTTGTCACCAATACCAAGTGTTTACATAAACTGAAACGAAAGATATTGGGGATGGAAACAAATGCTGTGCTCGAAAGACAACACCTGTTTGAAATGTAAACAAAGAAAATTTCAGACTTCATACTGTGTAGCATTTTCTCAAATTTTCAGACATCCATTTGCATGGAGAGAGCATAGTAACAAGGAATAGGAAATTAAAAATAGATACAATACAGGAATGTGATATGTTTATACGAAACTGCCAAGTTTCTGTGCAGCGTGACGCGATGACTGACGCAAAATCAGGCAGAACGACAACGGTAATAATGGGCATTTCTGGCCGCTTCTTCTCTTTCTTAAAATGAAAACGATAAAAATATGTAACAATACTCAGATAATCAGAATCATTCTGATTACTTACATCTCATATTTATGTACAAACGATCCCTGAATCAAAGGAAGGGTCCTCGCAAAACCAATGTAAGCCGCCATTTATTAAGAAATCTCAACGGTAGTGATGTCATACGTCAACATTGTTGTACATATTTGGCAATCTCTCTGAGGTGAACGTCGGTAGAATAAGAGTATACACAATCACCATATCCCGCCGATTACACTTTCAGTATCATAATGTAATCATTCGGATATTTTTTCATGAAACTAATTTAATTATCTACATTTAGTCTTGTTCAATATCATATCATACGTGGGTATAGGGTGTACGTGTTTGATTCTTTGAAAGTGTTTGTTTGAATAATATTTACATAAGAAATTTACACATTTAGTGTAGTAAAACATATATAAACCTTTACACAAGTGTTAAGAGATAAATCGTAGGCATCATGTTCTTGTACAACATGTATTTTAGTTCCTATGAAGTGCATAGTTACAGTTTCGTATGTAACTCTTCGTCAGAATAATTTCCAATATCGAAGTCCAGTCCACGATACACCCTATCCTTTCTTGGCCTCATGAAAGCAGTGTTAGCCATGAACGCCATTTGCGAGTTAACCACACTGTTAGACCGCCTCCGTGGTGTAGTGGTTAGAGCGTCCGCGGAGAGCGGAAGGTCGCGGGTTCGATCCCCGACTGCGTCATACCAAAAGACGTTAAAATATGGTACTTGTTGGTCCCTGCCTGACGCTCGGCATTAATGGGTACAACAAGGACTGGTCGGCTCAGAGTCAGTATAATGTGTCTGAGTGGGGATTCATGCTTCACTGCGGCATGGTATCTCAGTGGGCTAGCACTATAAAACCAGCTTCAGTCTGGGCTAGTACAAGCAGCCGCACATACACATACACGCATGCACGTCGTCATATGAGCGAAATATTCTCAAGCACGACGTTAAACCCAATTTCACCTCACCTCACCTCACTGTTAAAAAGTTAGCGGCAGTCCTTAGGTGTGTTAACTTTA